GAGGAAGGAAAGCTCTGCCCTGACAACACAGCGCTCCCGCTTCGTGCCCACCCTCACCGCTCCAGTGCCACTTTTGAACATTGTGAAAAGAGAAGGGAGAAAAAAAAAAAAAGGCATCTCTAATTTGTTGTCAGCGTTTTTATAATGAAAAGTTAAGGTGTGGTAGCAGAGGAAATGTGATCCTCACTATCCAAACCAACTACGTTAGCACCATAGGAAACAGAAGTCAACCGCTTCCTCTCTCACTCCTCCACCCCAGGTACATAGGGGACAGACACACGTACAAAGCTTATTCATTGTGCTTCATCAGCAAGATATTTTCACTTCACACAGAGGAAATGACCTTTCAGAGGTTAAAGAGCACTTTGCCCAGAAAACTCACATGTATTCCATTTACACTTTCACACCAGAGGTTGTTAGCCAAATTACCAGTGTAACTGAACAGCTTAATCACAGAGATGCTCCCATACCTGGCTTCATGTCCAGCAGATATTAATCACAATGTGTCATTGTATTCTGCAGGGAGTTTGGGGACAGTTTGTCTGGTTTCTCTATTCCCCTTTGCACCGAGCAGACTAACTGACATGCTCTTTAACCCTGACACTAAAGCATTCACTTGACCAGTCTTTAAGTCAGCTGCATAATCAAATTGGCTTTGATGCAATTTTTCTTTCATGCTTAAAGCATAGGGGCTAACAAGGAATGACTGTGACGTGGGACATATAAGTGAATGTATAGGTGGTATTTGTATCTCAGGGGAAGACTGGCAGAGTATGGTAGTGTTGACATCCCAATGAAAGTCAGGCCAGTGGAAACAAGTAACTGAACACAGGATAGACGTTGATCCTGAAAGTTTTTGGCTTTGCCACTGCTTATTAACCTCATTTATATAAAAATTTCGCTTTCTGTTTTACTGCTGTGTAATTAGATTTAACGACAAGTGGCCTATAAAACCAGCATATGGAGAGCCCTGCCAGAAGCTTTATTTTGGAAGAAGTATTGGGATACCCACAAGTGCCACACACCCCCACTGTGGGCATCAGGGGGGGCTCTGGGAAGACCCCAAAGCCCAGCTGGCAGACCAGAGCACTCCATGACAGATCTTCACCACAAAATACAGCCCTCACTCCTTTCCCTCGCAGGAAATGGGGACCCTTGCATGAAGGCATGCCAAATTCTCATCTAGGATTTTTTCCAAGCCCTAATAGCCCGAATAATTCGTATTGACTTGCTGCAGTTAGAGAGAAGATCTATGCCAGCTCTTCCATCAGCTGTTTCCGCAGGTCTGTGTTTTTTCTAGGACAGGCTTTGGATGCCCTCTGCCACTGACAAGACAATGCTCCCTGGCATACAACCCAAGTGCTCACAGGGGATAAACTCACATACTGTACAACCCCCCTCCCCTCCCATGGGTTCAGAGGTTATTTCAGAGTGAAATGGGACACCCGTCAGCACTTTGGCTCTGATGTGAGCTGAACAGCCTCTGGGCAGATAGGCCATCCCGTCTCTTTTGGCAGACGAGACAGATGATGGCAAGCACCCTGGAGCAGAGACCAGCTTGGGGAAGCACCTGAGCTTGACTTGCTGGGCTGGGGCTGAATTCCCTGCACCAGCAACTGGGTGAAACAACAGCCCGTAAGACCTTGGAAGGTGTTTCCCCAAACACACATGCTAGAAACAAGAAGACTAAAGAGAAGGCGACTGACAAAGGCTGGTTTGTTCTTGGTGGTGGTGGGGGGGTTGTTTGTTTGTTCATTGGGTTTTTTTGTTGTTGTTGGTTGGTTTTGTTTGTTGTTTTTTGTACCTAAAGCTGCTAAGGCAGGTAAAGGCTTTATGCTGGCAGAGAGGATTTCAGCCTCCCCTGGCCAGCCAGCTCTGCCCGCGTGACAACCTCTGCACCTGCCGGCTTCGAAGGACGTAGGTGAGAGCCCTGCGTAGACGCACGAAGGTGACAGCGGCTTCTCTGTGCTGGGACTCAAGCTCAGGTCTCCCATAAGGCTAGCAAGCATTTTATTTAAAAAAAAGACCAAAAAACCCCCCTACCACAATAACAAACTTAGCAGCCCAGGGAGAAGAAATCCTACTAGCTTTCCTCTCACCACAATAATGTACTGATGATTAAAGAGAGACCTGCTAGCAGTGTCCAACTCGCCCGAAAATAGCCACTGACCCACAAAACAACATGAACCCCAAATATGGCTCAAAGCAACCCAAAGCCTCCAGGGCTGACCAGCAGCACAAGTGGCTGTCACCTCACCCTTCCCTGCATGTCCCTTGCATGTAGCTCAGTGACAAAGTTCGGACTTGTTTCCTGATTTGTTACACCATGCACAGCCCGGGGAGTCCTCAGAGGGCAAAAGTTTAGTCAAGAGCATTTCTATACCACCTGTGGTATTTTTCACACCTGGAATGTGAAGGAGTTACAGAAATAAGAACATTCTTGATGAAGCCAAGGTGGAAAAGGACTTTGTTAAGCACCTGTCCAGGTGCAAACATTAACAAGAACACAAGGCAAAAATGTGCTTTCATGTGGCTGCACTAACTGCAGGACTTCTTGCAAAAATCTGAGAAGACAAATAGCATCCTTGGCATACAGGAGAGTGTTGTTATATCCACTTTACAGACAAAGAACAGGAGCACAGACAAGGAAGACAACTTGCCCAAGATAATGCAGGATCTGTGGTAATGACAGGACACAAAACCTCACATCCAAGATTAGAGCCTAGTCCCATAGACACTGCAACATCCACCTCCTCAGAGAAACAACCCCACGGAGAGCTCCACACTGCCTATTTTGCTCCTGTACTGCTTCACTGAGCCCAAGGCGAACAAGTGTACCACAGCATGGCTCTGAATGCAGGGGTCATCCAGGTACTGTCTCTAGATGTTCCCACAGCTTGAAGTGTTTAAAAAAAAAAAAAAAAGGAAAAGAAAAATATTTGATTTGACCTGTTACTGGGCTCCGATATCCAAACAGACCGGTGACATTTAATGCTGTGTGCTCAGTCTTGCACCCACCAGACTCGGCCAGGATACTGCCAGGGCTTTTAACAGCAAACGGGCTAAGACTTGAGCACAAAAAGCACCGTGTTATGCGACCCAACAAGGAAGAGCTGCAGGGCATTCTTTCAGCCATCTCCCTAATCCACCCCAAATTACCAGTAGGAAACTCCTGACGTTGAAATACGAGAGTCACCTTGTTCCTGTGTGGTTTCACCTCCCAGGGATGATCCTCAGCAGTAGGCATGGAGCAACAGGTCACTGCATGTCCCCAGCAGTCTGGCTGTGCTCTCCTTGTGGCTGTGACAAGCTGTGGGCAGAGGGGAGCAGGGAAGGGGCACTCCCCATCCACCCCCCTGGCTCAAGGACCACCTGGAAGGATGCCAGAAGGACCAATCTCCTCTTTTTACCCATTTTCACATCCCCACTCTAGGACACAGGCACAAGTCAGCGATGCTTTTCATAAAGACAAGACAGATTAATCCACCAATGACCACTAGGCCACAGTAAGTTTGGGCAGAGATACAGTCATGCTTTGTTTTGAAAAAAAAATCTCTTTTCACTTCAAGCCAACCATCGGAGAATCGCAGCTGAACAGGCTGAATACAGCTGTTGTCAGAGCTGGTCCTCACTGAGCCATTATTCCAGCCCTGGACAGATGGGGTTTGCCTCCACGGGGATGTAGCAAGGAGCAGAGGCAGTCCAAGCTCCATGTTCTTTATGTGACTGGGCTCCAAAAGTAACACCCATAGGGTACAGATGTAGTTGGATTTTATTTATAGAGAAAGAAGGGAGCCAGGGCTGCATTCCACATTTCTTCAGGTCAGTAAAGGTGGGCGAATGGGGAGAAGTGATACCTGTACCCCTGCATTCCCTAACTATACATGATCCATACTCCTCAAGTGACACACGCCAAATATACCACAAAGTGTACAGATGATGGATGTAAACAAGATGCCCAAATGCATTTGAGCACTTGGAAGCACTCCTATCACCGTAAAGCTGTTCTCCCACTCCTGGGCATACCTTAGAGCTAAACAGCAACAGATCCCTTTGGGATTAAACAGGCACAGATGTCCTTTTAGCACGACTTTCCCATGGAAGTTACATCCTGATGGTTCTGGAGAGCTGTTTGCTATGAGCTGTGTCACTGTCTGTATTGCAACACACCAGGGAGAGGAGAGAAGCAGCTTTGAAATATTCCACATAATCTAGCAAACACGCACACTGACACTGTGACCAGGAGCACATCGCAAGTTTATACATGAGGCAAAAATAAACACAGACACACAAAAATAAATAACTGCCAGCAAAAACAGATGCCAAAAAGAGTGACACCACCTTCACTGCAACTGGATACCACAGTAAGTGCAAGTACAGTGCTGTATTTTTTGCCTGCAGGAAGGGGAGCCTCCCAATTGTTGTTTCAGGACTGACTACAGCCCCCCCAAACAGCAATCCCCCTTTGCCATGCAAAGTACTATCCCATTACAATCTGCCACTATTCAGCGACGCAAACAACCGGCAGAAAAAGCTACAGCCAGCCTCTCCCGTGGCAGCATCGTGCTCAGAGTGCCTGATGGCAGCTCAGCTCTGTCTCCCGGATCCCCAGCGCAAGGATGGTGACAGCAGCGAAAGGGGCTCTGAGGGGCTGCGGTACAGGGGGGCAGTCAGCTGCCAAAACACTTTTAGATAAACTGGCTGCCAAAACACATTTCACACAGCAAATATCTCCCCCAAACCCTGAATTCAAGGCAGACCCACAGCGCTGGCTGGCTGGCAGCAATAGTGGCCATCAGCTCAGACTCGGATTCTAGACCTGCCGAGCCCCTTCGCTGCGGGAGCTGTGCCTCTGCCTCGACGCTCTCGCCTCACCCCGTCCCAGCCAACTCACCCGGGCACACCGAGGGGTCAGACAGGCGAGCGAGCACGTGTGCATCAGGTGGCACGATGGTGGTTTTTTATCAAGACCCGGGGTGGCGACTAGGGTGTTTTTTTACCTGGTAGACGTCCCGGAGGCCGCACCATGCTCGCAGGGCTTGCCGGCACGCCCGCAGCCGGGCAGCGTACCACCTCCTCAGCGCTGCCACTGTCACCGTCCAGACGAAGCGGCTCCCGCTGAAGAGCAGATCCTCCACCCCGCACATGAACACCGAAGCCATGAGCTGCTCCACCGGAGAACCAAAATCCTCGTCCCGGCTGGCTCCCGCTGGCTCCCGCTCCCTCGCTCAAAC